CCCCCCCCCCCCCCCTCGCCATGCTGTGCACCCTTAGTTTCCCTGCTGGCTCTGCCTATGGGGGAGGCCCTGTCCCGCTTGTCTCGGGACTAGAGATCTGCAGGTGGCCTCTGCTGAAGAGTGTGCCTGAGGAGCCTCAGGAGCATTTTTAATAACTTTTAGTCCAGCAGGATTCTCGTAAAACTCTACCAGTGTGCTGGTACAGTGTTTCGGGACACTGCCGGTGTGCTCGACTTCCACTTCTCTGAATTTACTCACTTACAGTATTCATTTTTTTATGATTGAAAAAACAGGAAAGGGTTCAGAAAAGGTTCAGAGAGATGAAAACCTGCCTTAAACTTTGTTGACTGAAGTTACCAGAATCTAGTGAAAAGGTAATTAAGAAACTACTTGCTCACAGTATAAAGGAGATGAATGCAGTCTGTGTTCTTGATTGAGATTTTTGACAGTAGTTTTCAGCCTGCGGTTTCTGACTCCTGGGCGCTCTGTGGACCGTTTCTGAAGGTCCATGGAGTATAAGTAAGACAAGAAAGCCATTTCCCAAACAGAGAAGTCTGCATTTCTTTTGGAAAATTTGCTAGGATCTGAAAATTCAAAAAGGTTTAAAGTTAAATGCTGCACTAGACTCCAAAGCAACATACAAACAAGAAAGATGTAAACTTTTTGAGAGTAGCTAATAATAACTAAGCATAAGCACAGTTTACTTGGGTATGTGGTATATTCTTGTAGTTTTTAACTCAGAGTAAATTGTCTTCCTTAAAGATCAGGTGCTGAGTGAAGAGAAATGATGGCCTTGATGGGGCAACAATGGAGGGGCCTCCTTGTTTCCCAGGAGCCTGAGGACATTGCATTAGATCACTGGAACGGTTTCTTCTGGGCTTAAAGCATTTGAGTCTATGAAGTACATTAAGCAGTCATGATCCAGTCTGGAGAGGTGTGGAGCAGCCTAGACCTCACCACTGAAATAAGGACATTGAGTTTAATCTGCATTTTGGAATCAGGTTTGTTAATTGCTCCTCTCTGATTCCAGCAATACATGTAGTAGTTTCATGTTACTCATTAGCAGTAATTAAGTCTGAATTTTACACTGTGCTAATGTAAGATATCATCTTCCAGGCAGCTAGTAAATGTGTAATTTTGCCCTGTGTTACTTAGTGGTAGCAACAATTAACATGGGTTTTAGTATCAAGAGAAAAATTGACATAAATAAAGCTGTTCCAAAGTGCTTGCCTTTTACCTACCATTTCATAAAATTGTGAAATGCTTTGGGGGGTGGGGTGCTGAAATGACGTTGGTTTATTTGTGCAAAATGGCTTAAATACTGAACTGTGTTGTCAGTAAGGCATTAAAGGAGAGAACCAAGGGTCATTTTGTCTGAAAGCATCCCCCCAGGCTGAAAATGTGCTTTCCCCCGAGCGTACAAACAAGCCGGGTGGGAGATGTCCCACACGTCGTTTCAGCCAGTCTACCGCAGGCTGTGCTGGCCCCTGCACAGTCTGGCCGCTGCTTCAGGCTGTCAGGTGCTGACTTTGATCCCCACCGGGGGGATCGCCGCTGCTCTCGCCGTGCGGTGCTCGAGGTGTCCTGGGGAGCTCCCATGGGTGGAACAGCAACCAGCAGATGCATATATGCATGCATGTATATGTGTATATACACACACACGTATAAAATTCATGCTCCATAAACACCAATTCCTGTTGCCACCATCAATTTGTCTTTTCTACTCATGAATTGTTAGTTACTGAAGTATCCTAATCTTTATTTGCAGTAGGAAACTCCATTCCCCTGTAAAAATATTTTCTCAGGCTGCACATGTTTTTTTCCCCCATCTTATCTGTAGTATAGATGTTGTGCTTTTAGCTTTTGTGCATTATCTGGCCCCTGTCTTGATTGCTTTCCAACATTTGGAGCTGTGTTATTAGGGAGATTTTCTTGCAAGTGACTTCAGTGATCCTTTCTGTGTGTCAGCTCTGCCGAGGACAGCCCATAGCACCCCTCAGACCAACGAGCAAACGCCTGCGAGAGCCCTGTCACAGGGCTGTGTAAGGGGAAGGCCCCACACCAAAGGGCTTGGGGGACCCCTCCGACTCTTGCCACAAACGAGAAGACTGACGTCTGCAGCCCCGCGGCCCACGGCCAGCAAGGTGGCAGCGAGCACAGCACGGCCGAACGCCGGGGCAGCCTGCGCTGCGGTTTCTGTTCGTCTGCGCCTTCCCATTGTGACTGGCAGCAGTCGCTCAGCCTTTCTGTGTTGTCTCTGGAGGTAGACGGGATCATGTGATGGAAAAAGCGTTTCATTCAAGGAAATATGCTCAGGGATTATGAATGGAAGCTCTGAAAGATGAACTTTCTTTGCCGTTCATTACAGTAGTGGTCTTCATATACATAGGGCTTTCTGTAATCTTGGTGTGTAGCCTGAAGATATCCACAAAACGTTACGTATTTTTCTTTGTATCAGGTATATCTTCCTATGCAAGGATCACTCAGATGTCAATTGAATAACTATGAAAATGAGTTTTAAGAACTTTGGACTGCTAGCAGGAGAGATGGATTGGGAGGGGGGCAGCAGCAAACCGTTTATCCCAGCCTTAAGGGAGACAAAAATCATTGAACAAATTAGATTTCTGGCAGATCTTGTAACAAGAATACATTTTAACTTTCTGAGCAAAATTGCAGTATAAGGTCAAACTATATTGAATTAATTTGTTTCCTGATAAAAACAGTTTCTTACTTAAATTAAGGCTCTCTTTTGCTTTGTCATTGTTCCTGTTTGGATTTATTTCAAAGATGAATAAGTAAAGGAAAAAAAATGTAATTTAAGGAATCTGTTTTTTTCCAGAAAAGCATTCAATTCTCCTTTTTAGTTTGGGTTTTTTTATTGTTATCATCCCTTTAGTGAAAGCATGGGCTCCAGTGTTACAATTTTAAAGAACAATTAGTGTCTAAAGCTTCCATATTAATGAATTTGTATTTTCTGAAGTCTCATGGCATGCGAGACCACAGCTCACATGCCATGAGAAGAGGGGATTCTCTTTCCCAGGAGATGGGGTTTCTCTTCCCTGACCTCCCTCTGCCACACACCGTGGCTGAGCGGCTGTGCAGGCAGTGCCCTTTGCTCAGGCTGTGCCTTTCATTTTAGAGGTTTTTACAGTGGAGCTACAGCTGGGGGGAACTTGGGGCTAGTTTTCAGAAGTCACGTTCGTGCCCAGCTCCCCGTGCCCCAGCCGCCGGCTGAGCACCCAGCGCTGCCGAGCACCAGCTGCCCTGCTCCCAGGTGGGAGCCTACCGGTGGGTGCACCCAGAGCAAGAGACCGTGTTAAAAGAGTTCAACCAAGGAGGGTTGTCTTGTGTGCGAAGCTGGTTTATGTGGTAACAAGGAGTTGTTACAAACTTGTTAACAACCCCCAAACAGTGGGGTTTGGGTATATATTGTACATAGAATTATTTTTTATTATTTCTTGATGTGAATGGTTGTCAAATTGATGAATGTCCTTTCATCCAAATAAAATTAGTGCATGAAATTTGTTGTTTACCACATCTGAATTTAATAAAAAAATTAGAAACAAGCTAATTCTGATTTTCTTGTTTGGTTTACACAATTGCAACAAAAATGGCTCATATGTAAGAGGTTTTCTTCAAAGATGCTGTATTCCGGGTCTAGTGAAAGCGCAGAGCTGGTGCTGTTTTCCTGGTAATGCTACTTTGACCACCTGTCTTGCTGTGCGCTCAGTGCTTCTTGTGCCCCTGCACAGCAGAGAGAGAAGTGAGCCTTTAACATTTTCAGAGCTGCACGTGAGCTTTTGCAGGCTCACTGCTGCAGCCAGACCACATTTCTTTTGTTGGGTTTCTGGCTCCGCAGCCGCTTGCTTCCTGGAGGCAGCTCTATGGGCAGGGGGGAGCCATTCTGAGTCCCAATGGGCATAGCTTTCACTGAGCAAAAACGTGTGCCCGTAGAGGATGGGCATGCTCTACTTTCAAAACAACTGGTATTTGCTTGCCTTCAGCAGCTTTTTAAAGAAACAGTATTTTTTGGAGTCATACTACAGAAATACATAGGTTAGCAAAGGAAGCAGCTGATACTAGAATTGTCAAGTTGCTCTGGTCAGTATGTGATAGCCTAGAGAAGTAGCCAGGGGCTTTCCTCCTAGGTCTGTAGCGTGTGTTGTGTTTGTTTTAGCTGATGACATAAGGAATGAAGATACGCCTATAGCTTCTAAGGCAATTGTGTGAATTCTCTTCCTCAGGGTCGATGTTCAAGGGAAAACTGCAAATACCTTCACCCACCACCACACTTAAAAACACAGCTGGAGATAAATGGACGCAATAACCTGATTCAGCAGAAGAATATGGCCATGCTGGCCCAGCAGATGCAGCTTGCCAATGCCATGATGCCTGGTGCCCCGTTGCAGCCTGTGGTATGTACACTTCTTGTTTCGATCAATGAGTACAATGAGTTGTAGTTGAAGTAAGTTAGTAGGTGTGCTTACGTGCCTGTAAAATGCCACAAACGTTGGTAACTGGTGGAGAAATCAAATACAATGAAATGCTGGTCTGTATGTCTTTGTACTGCTTAACTCTCTGTTGCCTGAAGTAATTTTGTTAATCTAATTAATTTTGTTAATCTTTTGTTAATTTAATTAATTTTTTGCAACTTGTTTCTTAAAACTAAGAAAGTGAATTATCTGTGTGGGATTTTCATAAATAGACGTTTCCTTTGCAGTTTCATGTGCTCTAGGAAATTCCTGGGTTTGAGAAGATTCCCACTGGATGTTTTCCATTCACTCAGGGGAACCTTCTCAGGGAATTACTTGCTGGAATTGGACTTTGGTTTTTACAGCACGTTGTCAGGCAGAGCAGAAAGCTTGCCCTGAGTGATGTATGGTGCATGTCAGTCTGACCTGCACGATCCACAGCTCAGGCTTGGCAGGAAGAAGAAGTACAGATAATCATACCTTCTACAAAAAATCAAGGTGTGGGGGAAGGAGAATCTATCAAAAATCTCTCATCTGGTCACAGTAAAATGTGATCATATATTACATCATATCTGTTTCTCTTATACCTTAGTAAGTAAGCGCAGTGCAGTTTTCCACAAAGTCGAACGCCATGGCTGAGTTTCTTGCTCTGCAATAATCCCTCGTTTCAGCAAATGTAAAGATGATTGGCATCATCCCGCCATGCACATACACATTTGGGAGCTGAACACCCTGTGCCAGATCCCTCTCTAATGCAATCCAGAGAGGTCATTTGAGCTAACCTATGGATAAATTTGGCCCAGAACCCTTTTGATATAAATTTCTAGTTCAGATATTAGAGGGTACTGATTAATGTATGAGCGAGACTGGCGCTGATTAATGTATGAGCAAGGCTGGTATATTCTACATAAAAAGGCAAACAATGCTCCCCTGGCTGAAGCTCTCTCCTTCAATGGGTAAAATGGCAGCAAAGGAAAAAATAAGTTGAAATATATATATAAAATAAATACATCTGCATTACCACTTCTCTGACAATTCTTTTGTTCCTTTCTTGCTGGCAAAGGTAGAATTTAGGGAGTTTAATTCCAGATACGTTCCGTTAGGAAACCTATATTCACTCTGTTAGATGAGTTCTTCAACTTTTATTTCAAAAAACATACTGACAATTAATACTCCTCAAAATATAGCTAAATACTTAGGAAAAATCATCTCAGCAGGAAGGACTCTCATACTTGTGCCAAATGGTTATTTGGCCCCCTGTTTTGTGGGTGTACAGAATACCAGTAAATATGTTGTAGCTTATTTGATTCAGTTTATATAACTGTTATTCTTCCACAGAGCTTTATGCCTCAGCTGTTTCAAGAAAAAGGGTGTGTGGGGGAGAAAAGCAGAAAATGTTGTGGTAGGATTTTCACAGTAAATTGACTTTAGTACCTGTTAGCACAGTGTGAGAAGATACCACGTTTTGTTTTCTCTCTTTTGATTGGCTTTTCTTTAAGTAAAATTGTCTGTATCACCTGGGCAAGGAGATGAGCTGAGGCAGCATCAGTGCACAGACACCAAATGCTGTGGCACCACAGTGCTTCAGGGGATGTCCTAACACTGCGCAGTGCAGCCTGCTCCTTACTCCTGTCTTGCAGGAGAAATGTGGCTGCCTGTGGGCTGGTGCCCGCTGCTGATGGCTTTCAGATCAGAAACAAAATTAAGTGTCTGTACAGCTAGACAGCTCAAAAGCAGTCTGTACTTTACGTGCTTTAACTCCAGAGCAACCTCAAAATGATTTTTCAATTTCAACAGCTCAAAACAGACGTGTGCACATGGCACAATTTTACTTTTATTTCCTGATTTTAGTACAGTGATACAGCCTTAGTACCAGCAAATTCATATTTGGGACTCTGAGAAAGCTTAAGTCAAAAGGCAGCCAACAGTAAGAACCATTGCTTAAAATATTCTTCTCTGTTAACCTGTTTGTTTGTTTGTTTGTTTCATGAATTGTAACCAAATACGGCATGCTCGGGTTTATACAAAGCAGTGTGTAGGCACACACCAACATTTGGGTAAACATGAAAAAAAATACTAATGCAGTCCTTTGGATTAACGTTCTGTAAAAACAGGCTAGTGTGAGGATAACATTTAAATAAGATTTAAATTCTCCTTTATGCTACACTCACACTGTCCCTAACGAGCAAAATTTAAGTCAGTATATTTTGAAGTGCAGCACAAACCTTCTACCCGTGCCTGGGTAATTTCTGTGTACAACACTTGAGTTCAGACATGACAGACTGTGTATTTTCAGAATTCAGTCTCATTGAATATGAGGTTTCATAGCAAGGGCCGTTGGCTGTCCCAGCAATAGTGTTTCCATTAGTAGGATGTCATCCTACTAATTTGGCCTTAAAATTACTTTATTTTTTAGCACAGTTGAAATGGATGTTATTTCAGGGTGTTCTAGCAAGTGATTTATATCATCCCATCTAACGATGCTTCAGTCAGTCTGTTTTGTTTTACAAAAATCAAGTCTATGCTTTAATAAAAGTAAGTGAACTAACTGAACAAGAGACTCTAATTTGGTAAGCAAAGCAGTAGGATCCTTTCACTCATATTTGTGTTTGATAAATGTTTTATCTTAGTTGCAAGTAATGTCTGTGGACTTTTCCCATCTTTCCTTTTTAGTTCACTCTTTTATCTGTCTTTAGCTGGCACTTGAGGGAGGGGATTTCAGATGGTGTGCGGGGATTGTATGTCCTGCTGACTGCAAGCACAGAGATCCTGAGGAAGAGCTCTGCCTGCGCGAATCGGTTCTGCCCTCCTTGCTTGTAAACTGGTTTAGGGGGAGTTGGGCTCAACTAGACTAATGCTTTAGTACTAGAGCATCAGTTGGTATTAGCACATCAGTTGATACTAGCACATCAATGGGTGATGCTGTGCTGCTGCACAATAGCAATATCAGACCCTGGATTTGCCTTTTCCAGTGTGGAAGAGTGTGAAAAATGCTGAACAGAAGCAGGAAGATGCAGATGTGAGACCAGAAGAGCAGAGATGGACCACGAATGTGGCTGGAGACACTGGGGCCATTCCTCGCCTCCAGGGCCATGTGGAGCGCTGGGAGCACGAGGAGCCCCGAGGCTGCTTGCTCTATACAGGCCTGAACCGCGGGGCTCTTAGTCAGGCATGCATTTCTGCAGAGCGCTGGCGCTCCAGAGGCGATCAGCTGCACACTGCTGGTGCAAATCCGCAGCAGAGCAAGGTCCCAGACCTTCCTGCAGGTGTGTTTGTAATTCACAAGTAGCTGTAGATTGTCAGTGTTTCTCTCTGTGTATGTGGTACATTCTTGTGCTTTCCTTGGCACGGCAGGTGCTTGGTAGATGACTCTTAAAGATGCATTAAATGAGTCCAGCTCCTTCCCTGCGGGCAGCCGGTCCTGCGGGGCTGGCGAGCTGGGGCGCTGGCAGAAAGCCCGTCTGTCTGTCTGTCCAGGGAGGAGCTGTGGCTCTGCTGCGATGCAGAGGCCAATTTCCAAAGGTGCCCCCGTGTCTCCTTCCCAATCGATAGACCCCATTAGTGAGCAGTGCCTTTGAAAGGCAGAGCTGTGGAGATCAGACCCGCTGGTGAGGTTCACGTTGGTTGTGCACAGGCATTTTTAGAGCAGAATTATTCAGTATATGGGATGATGTGGATTCTGGGGCATCTGGCAGCACAAAGCAGCATCCAAGGCTATGTCCTCCTTCACCTCTGTTCTCTCTGCATGGTAGGGCCCTAACTGCAAGGCCAGTAAGTAGTTGTATGGTTTGGTCGTGGTGATAGAGAAATACTACCTCTGCTTCTAGAGATGAAGAAGTGAAAGCTTGCTGGAAAACAAGTGAGCAGTAAGCAGCAGAGACGAGCCCAGTGGCTCGGACTGACCTGGAGCCTCCCCCCCCGTCTCTCCTTTCCTGCATGGCATCAGGGTCCCAGTTCTGACCAGTTTGCAGTTACAGGCTGACCCTCGGCTGATGCTCATGGATGGCAGGGCCGTGCTTGGGGTGACCCTTGCGGCAGAGGGAGCAGTGCACTGGTGTCCCGCTCCTCCCCGTCCCACAGCCACCCGAGCCTTGGGTCAGGGCTGGGGATGGTCCCTGGGCAGATCCAGTCTGTGCCATGTGTCCTCTGGGGCCACTGTATTGCCAGAAATTTTTCCTTGGTGCAGGAGTGTTCGGGTGGCTTTGTGCCCTGGTCTGCTACTGAAAGTGGTTGTGTGCTGCCCAGGTTTCACCACTTCATGGTCTCTTTCTGCCAGCAACGTGGCTCCGAGTCTGGGCTGATACGACTGTAAGATAGTTTTTTATCTCGTAATTTACATGTGTACAGCACATTGCAAAATACCTGTGAGTTTCAGAATAATATGCAGTGGCTGTGATAAAATATGCTATTATTTTGCAATGGTCTAAAGGCTGCAGGATATTTATAGTAGTATAAAATGTTCTCAGTAGAAAATAAATGGGATAGTCTTTTATACAGTGACTATATTGGGCTGAAATCAGACATTGGTATCTCTTAAGTTACACACTAACAGACTGGTTCATAGTTTTATTTTCAATGTTCATTATTACATAGCTGATAACACAGTAATGAAAAGTGCCATTAATTGTGTATTTAATAGTAATATTTTATTTCCTGTAAAATTTGCCTGTTTGTTTTTCATTCACATTGATGAAGAACCAGAGACTTTAAAGAAATTGTTCCCATTTACACAACTTTCGGTCTTTTTTCTTCAGTAATCTTTGCATGTGTTTTTGTCCAGTGTTTCAAATGGACCTGTTCCTTGCTTCCAAACAGTTCAGTCATTTCCTCAGGAATACAAAAACATGTGGTGTTATATGCTGTCTGGCTGAAACAGATATGAAACAGAGAAAAAGAGTTGCGTTAACTCCATAGTTGTTTTTCCCTCTAGCAATTAGTTTGGAAAAAAAATTTAAATGTCTTGAGTAACTACTTTATTTAGATACTAAAGGTAAACACTCCAGATGAAATTTTATTTGGCAATTATACTGGTAGCGCAGTGCCTTTGCATTCAGTGGGGCAGAAGAGTTATTTAATCTTTACTGCAGTGTAACAGCTCCGCATTGGGTCTTGCAGCATTATTTGGTCTTCTACATCCAATTATCTTCACAACATGTGATAGCCTACAAGGGCATCTGACTCTTTTTTTAAAACAAGCAAACAAACAAAACCCCCTGGTATTTGCATGCTCTCTCTCTCTGGCTTAATGTTTTAGTATAAATAAAGCATATCCTTGATGCAGTATATTTCTTTCTGAATATCTGCGTGGACAGCCTGTTTAATTTTGTAAAAATAAATGATTATGATTGTCTGGTCTTGTTCCTGTATTAAACTCCTGTAATTTCTGAACCAGAGCTGGCTGTCATCAGGGTCAGAAATGTATTTATCTGTGTCTGAAGTTGAGTGTGGTTTGATGGTGTGTTGGGGCTCTCACGCAGATGCCTTTTTTCCCAAGAGCGGATGTTTGTACACATTTTGGACGTGTGCCGCCAAGAGCCTCCGACTTTCTCCTGTGGCTGTGAGGCGTGCTCGTTAATGATGGCATTGCTCAAGTGCAGATCAAATGAGAGTTTGCTCCAAGAGCTGCCACGTGTTGGAAGCTTGAGCAGGAGAACCAGCGGAGGCTGGCAGGGGATGCCTGTCCTCATGGTCTTGCTCGTGTGCAATGTTTGCACGGGTGTTCTTCACGTCCCACAGACACGACAAATGCTTCTTTCCCATTAGTAACAGAAACTCACCACCATTGTGCTCAAGATGATAGCCAAAAAGTTATTATGCTGATGGCATGGCAAGTATAAATATTTAAAGTGTCTTTCTTCTTCTTTTCTCTGATTGCAGCCGATGTTTTCCGTTGCACCAAGCTTAGCCACCAACGCATCAGCCGCCTTCAACCCCTACCTGGGGCCTGTCTCCCCAGGCCTGGTCCCAGCAGAGATCCTGCCCACCGCCCCGATGCTGGTGACAGGGAACCCTGGTGTCCCGTTCCCTGCCGCTGCCGCCGCTGCTGCCCAAAAGCTAATGAGGACAGACAGGCTGGAGGTAGGAGCTGATATGTGTAACTTACTCTCACAAGTTGTATCACTTATGTCTCCTAGATATAAAACATTTTTCTTGTGAAAGAAAATAATGCAGGTTTTGCTTCAGCTGATAATGTCGTATCTTGGTGACGAGTAAGGACAGGGAGTGACTGAGTGATCATATAGTAAGTTAATGCTTGTGGTTCTGCTTCTGACCCTCCGTTGCAGAAAAAAATGGAAATACTGAGACCTTTTAGGAATGACAATAATTGTGGCAGCAGCAAGAGCACCTTGAAACTGTTTGTGTGTGCCCAGAAGGTGTTAATGTGCGGGTTGTACAGGCACGGGTAGTGAGCACCAGGGGCGGGTGTAACGGCAGAGCTTCAGCTACCTGGGTAAAAGATGGCTTTCAGCCTCTCACTTTCGCTCTGGACAGATGGTGCCAGCACTCCCCCACCGGCCTCCCGCGCCCGGCTTATCAACCTTGCTACAACCCTGACAAGTGTTAGTGCACTCTAGCTGGTACTCTCCCTTGCCCTGAATCTTTTTTATCTGAAAGGCCTGACAGTGTTTTCGGCACCTTATCGGTGCTGCGGCAGCGTGGGCAGTGAGCCAGCAATGTGCTGCCGGCTGCTGCACACTTGGGGCGTGCGGGGAGGACACGAGCACAGCCTGTGTGCAGGCGCTCCACAGCCCCGGTCAGGTCTGGTGGTTAAAAGGCGGCGATGGGAGAGGCTGAGCAGGCAGGGTGATCTGCTGTCACCCCGTTTGTCTGTTGGACACAGCTGTGTGTTAGGGCATGCACTGCCTGCAAGAGGTCCGCTCTCCCTGTAGCACGGCTGGTGGTGCTCTCCCTCTCCGGCACCGTGCAGCAGCCGACAGCAGCTTTGATCAGCGGTGGAGGGGGCTGAGTTGTGCCATGACCCATCCCTGCAGCCACAGCCCTCCTGCTCTGCCCTCAGCCCCCACCCCGGTGGCCAGTGCTCAGCACTAGCGCTCCTGTAGCATTAGTGCAGTGGCAGGTCTCAGAGATCCTGGTACTGCAACATCTCCTCTGCGTGGGGAGGGTGTGAAGGCTTGAGGGTGTGGGGGGTGGATGGGTTGATCTGCTCTTGGATATGGTCCCTGAACTCAGGGAGCATGATGGGAGGAGCAAGAAGGATCTCTGTTTTAAAATGCAGCCAATTGTAATTGTAATGCTTTTGTTTCTGCCCATGCATCTGCATTAACAGGGATTAATTCTCCTTACAAGGAAAATTAATTCCTTTTTCTTAGTTGCATCTCTGACTGACAAGCTGCTGCTCAGAGGCTGCAAGCTGGGAGGAGTGTGGAGGGTCCTCTGGCAGTGAGTGTTTCCCACTGTCGCTATTCTCAGAGCTGACGTCATCACAGGTTCCCCTTCTGCGGGATCACATCATTTCCCTTTTTAGAGATGTTTTCTCCGAGGAAGGCATTCCCCAAAGCATGGTCAGGTTACAGGAGAGGCAGCCGCACTGAGCTGAGAGCTGGCGCACGGGTGGCTGTTTGGAATCACTAAGACATGTTTTTCCTTTGAGGACTCTATTTCACGGTGGATACCTGCCAGAGGTGGATTAAAACCAAAATGCAATTAGATAAATTCATAAATAAATCATGCTAGATTTGGAAATGAGTACCGAGAGGAGGATGCCGATGGTGGAGAGCCCTTTGGGTCGCAGCACCGAGGTCAGCTGCTGTGTTTGATTGTGCTTCCACCCATGTAGAGGCCACGGCACTGGTCAGTGATGTTGGGGACTTGTGGGCTCAAGTAAGCAGGAGCAGGATGTACCCGAAGTCCCCAAGCACCAGCTCTGCCCATGGCCAGGGAAGCGTGTACATCGGTGGGAGCCTGAGAGGGGCTGCGCAGGGGCACCTCTTCATGTGGAGCTTCTGGGGCAGAGCTTGTGCTGTCTGGCAGACTGTGACCAACGTGCATGGGAAGCTAATGAAATGTGGGACTTCAGCATGCAGGATTTGATCCTCTGGATGCTTGCGTTCTCTTTATATAGCTATTTAGAGAAGTGATACACTGCTGAGCCAAACTCCTCTGCACAAGAGGGAGTTGTGAGAGTGTTACTCTCACAAAACACCCAGGGGCACAGTCTGCAGTAAAAAACATTTTTATCAATTAGGAAAAGCCAGCAAAAGCATCTGAAATCAGTAAAATTTAAAAAAAAGGCTGAATGGTTTTGCTTTGAACTTGTATGGAAAGGAAGATGATGGCCAAGTTGGAAACCCCTGAAAATAAGTGCAGAGACTTAGAGGAGTGCCTCTTTTGTCACCTTTCCTGGTGAAATGGCACGGTGCGGGGATTCCTCCAGGAGCAGACTTCGTTTGCTGCAGGAAAAACTGGCAGTGCAAGAGCGTGCCAGGTCCCTGCACGCTGGCCGAGCTCCCACGAGGCAGCACCCTGCACCAGGGAGAGCCCTCTGCAGTGCTGGGGAGGCAGCACCACCCTCCCGTGGGCTCAGCTCACAGCCAGAACGTGGTCAAGCAGGACACCTACTTCTCAGCCATGTTCTCCAGTTGACTTAACATCCCAGCTCAGTCAGCACCCAGCAGCCTTCTCTGCTGTAATTGCATCTCAGTAGGCACCGCTCGAGAGGTGTCCTTGTCCTTGGAGGAGGGCTGTCCCAGCCCAGCCTTCCTAACAGGGCCCTTCCCTTCACTCTGCCCTAGCCATTGCACCATGTAGATCACTTTAAAGAAATCCAGTTTCTTCTACCCTTTAAACTGTTTAAGTTTTGCTTTTTATTTTGACTGGGATCAAGAGTACATCCAGGTTGAGCCACCGACTCTGCAAATTCCACACCACGCTGCTGTTGTACAAAATTAGTATCTGTTGGGTGGGGGGTGTCTTTTCCTCCTCTTTTTTTCCCTTCAGCAGATGCAGTTTAAATAGTTTAAGTAGGTGAGAAGATAATTTGCCAGTGCTTTCCAGTATATTGGTGTATCCAAATTTAGTACACAAATACCAAATAAGCACATCATTTTTATGAACAGCAAAACATTTTAATGTACTTTATAGATTACAGAAATGCAGAACTGATTTGAAAGATGTGGCACTGTCTGATATCTGCCTGCTCTTTAAGTGAGCTTATTGCTGTCGGTATTGTCATTTGTTATGACATGATTAGAGGGCTTTATAAGGCTTAGCTCGCTCTCCCTTGGAATGAACTGTCCTCGAGAAAAATAACCGCTATAATGTTAGCATCTAATCTTGGAATATGATTTGTTCTGCTTAGAATTTTAAATACTTATTTTCAAGAATGATGTACTGTGGCGTTAATTAAGTTAGCACACGTGTTCTGGGATACTGAATTGGGCTGTTCCACAACTAAAAGCTCTCAATACGTATACCTGGGATTTTAAGGAAAGCAGGCAGACAACACAAATCTGTCAGGCAGTGTGCCTAGTCTTCTGAATTAATATGAATATTCGTAAGATAAGGTCAGTGACTGTTAACTAGCAGTAGGATTAATTTCATACATATTTGGACCGTGTTACCTGTACAGATAGCATGCAGGTGATTGGGTGTCCAGTGCGTTCAGTCACTCCCATAAGGAATCTGGGTCTCAGGGTGGAAATTTCATGGGTTGAGGCTTTTCCTACAGCTTTCCTCACACTCCTCTCCTGCCAGAAATATCTTGAACAAAAGTGTGGCTCTTCAAGTGAACTAGAAGAGAAGCGAGAAGGACAGGGAAGTGAGAGAGAAAGGAATTGCCTAACCATTTTGTGTAAAACGCATGTGTTTCCATTTGAATGCCATCATTTTCTATTAGAAGTATTCAAGAATCAAGAATGACCACAGCCAAGCTGCTGTTTCCTGCTTTCTTCATATATACCATCTTCTGCCAGAAAGAAGCAGCTTAGAAGTTCTTGGAGATTTTCAGATCTTGGGTAATCAGGAAATCTGACCTAGCGGTGCTGTTTGTTTAAACATTCAGAATGTACTGGATAACAATATGCCCATTTTGATAAATTCTCTTCAATGCAGAGAAGGAGACAGGAGATGTGATTTGCTCAAGGAAGGGCAGGGATCTCAGCTCTGCTGTCCATGTCCCTCCAGCCAAACCTCTGCCCGCTTTTGGGTGGGCAGCGTGGGACCTCTGCTGTAGCTGAGGTGACGCAGTGGTTGTCTCCCCACCAGGGTGGGCAACCTGAATCCCAGCAGAGCGATCAAAATAAACTCAGCCCAAAGTTAGAACAAGTTAAGTGAATTACGATAAATCAGTAATATTGCAGCAATAACTCAGCATTTTTGCAGACAGGCTAGAGATGTACAGGTGCCTCTTTTGTTTATGTTTCTTAACATACTGAGTTGAAAATTATGATACTAATTACAGGGCTATTAATAGATAACTAAATAAAAGCTCTCCAGATCTGAAAGACCAGACAACATATCATGCTTCTGTGCCGCTCTTTACTCAAGCAGATGAATGATCTATTACTGCCTGCCTGTGACAAAAAACACCGTTCTCAATGCTTGCTTTTAAATAAACAAGAATTGGAAACTTTCTTGGCTACCGTCACAGTGGTTGAAAAGCCATTGCTGGTCACACTAATTAAAAGGACTAGCAGTATCATGGTTTGTGTCTGACTGCTGTAAACCATCATTCAGAGATCTGTTAAGGAGCACTGAGAGCGAGCCATTCATTGCCTATCTCAGCTACTGCATGACAGCTCTGTGAAAATTTGCTCAGGACATGCCAAAGATTATCTGCCTAACTGTTTCAGTTTTCTGGTCATTCTTCTTTGATTTTTAACTATGATAAAATTAGCTTATCTGTGGATGCGTTTTCTTTCTCTCTGTGTATACAGATACTTTTATATATATACTTATATATGAATTTGTGTGTATCATCTTTGTGTTATTAATGGAGTAGTTCTTGTTTACATGTGGAGTGGTTTTGAGACCTCAGTTTTGTGGATCACCAATACAAGACAAAGAGCAAAGACAGTCAACTGACATTAGTTGCATCCTTTTCTTTATCTTCAGAGGAAAAGATTTCAGTTTACTTCTAGACTGCAAACAAACAATCAAAGGAAGTTATCCATTTTTGTCTATTTGGGAGGCCTGTGTTTGGGTAGAAGACACTGGTTCATGGCCCAGAAAGTATTCCTAGATGATGAAAGAGAGCAAGTTGCAACGCAGGTGGTGGGGCTGACCAACCCAACACAGCTCTCTTGGAGAAGGAATAATATGCCAGCTCCATTTGGTGTATGCTTCAGAGTGAGGGGGGAGAGAGACCAAGGAGTCTCTTGTGAGCAGGGATGGTGCTAGCACGCAACAGATGCCAGAAGCAGACTTGTATTTTTTGATGGCTTAAACAGGCGCCGCCTCCTTCCCCAGTCACTCCCTGTGTCATGCTGGCTGGCAAAGTGGTCCGTGCCACTTCATGGGGACTAGACCAGGGAACAGATCTGGCTGAAGAATTACCTAGCAGGCAAGTGATTATTTTCCAGCTGAGGAATTTGCCCAGCCTGTTTCATGTGTGCTGCAGAAACAGTTCTGCAAGCACCGAGCTATGAGCAGTAGGGCCACAGGGATGAACGAGAGCAAGGGAAGTGCCTAAACTGGCTCATTTGGCTCTGCTGCAAATGTACATCCAGAGTCTGTCACCGCATGGAAAAAGACTATAAATAGGGTCATGCTGGAATGACCCTGGGGAAATGGATGTTTCCTGCAAGCAGATTCACAAATGGCATTGCTCTTGTCGTTCGGGGGTGTCATTTCATAAGTCTTAGATGATGGGCAGCTGGTACTTGAAGCAGCACAGGGGTTAAAAAGCAGCTAGAGCACTAGCATGGATGGAAACCAAATAACAACCAAATTTGGCTTGTTGCAGGGATCAGAGCCAAGGTCCTTGAGGAAATACTGATGATCCAAGCTCATGGGCACCCACCTTTAAAAGGAAATTCCATCTACTAAAGTGGTTTTATTTTTATACAAACTTGGTTGCTTTTGTCCCTTTCTGTTTCCTATAGCCTTTGAAAAACTAAAATGACAAACACATTTTTGTTTGCGGTTTGTGAAGAGTTGACCATGAAAAGAACACACGTCATTTTTTTAAATACAGGGTTTGCAAGGTGTGTGAAGAGGGAGCCAATGCTTGTCGCACTGGTGGCGAAGTTAGTGTCTGCACCACTGGCGGTGGCTGGAGGTCCGGGAGGGGCCTGTGCCAGCTCAGGCCTGGGCTGGAGCCCGCATACCAGCAGAGGGGATGCTGCAGGGGGATGCCCTCCAGCCAAGCAGGTTTCTTCCTGCAGTTTCTGATTCCTTCAGCTTGCTTTGGCTGCTGTCACGCAGTGGCAGTGTGACAGTGGGACTGGTGACCGCTCTGGCTGCAGCCTCTGCTCTTTCCCAACGGGGCCCACCTTCTGCTGATCTGCAGGGCAATCGCTGGGCAGCGCGGGAGAGGCAGCCACTGCCACTTGCTGTCACGCAGTGGCAGTGTGACAGTGGGACTGGTGACCGCTCTGGCTGCAGCCTCTGCTCTTTCCCAACGGGGCCCACCTTCTGCTGATCTGCAGGGCAATCGCTGGGCAGCGCGGGAGGGGCAGCCCCTGCCACTGCGGGTTTTGGATTGCCCTCTCGTGGCAGATGCCTGGATCGTGGGGGATGGTGCAGCGCCACATGCCCCGGCGGGTGCAGCTCACTCCCTGGCATGGGCACGAAGGGCCCGTCTGGTGGGGCTGCTCAGGGGCAGCCATGCAGTCATCCTCCCGGCACCTGTGGCCCGTCACCTTAATTAATGCATCAAGTGTTGCTAACTCAGGCACAGCCAGATCACAGTGGAGCACGACCGTGTCTGAACACCATGGTGCTTGGGGTGATCTCTGAGAGCTAGCCACAGCAAGTTTCTTCAGAAAACAGAAAAAGCCCTGTGGGCGGCTAAGCGGGAGCCAAAATAAAACCTGCTGTGTGCTTGGCTCTTGATCCTGGTGGGTTTTGATGCTCTTTGACATCAGAAGTGGCTTTAGAGAAGCCAGGTCCCTGCTGCCAGGGAGCCAAGCCCACTGTCCCACCACCACTCTGCTTCTCCTGGGGCCAGGCGCTCATCCTCGCAGTGCCCTCGTAGATGTTCAGAAATGAAGCGATTTTCTTTTCCTGGTGTCGCAGGTATGTCGAGAGTACCAGCGTGGCAACTGCAACAGGGGAGAGAATGACTGCCGGTTTGCTCACCCTGCCGACAGCGCGATGATCGACACCAATGACAACACGGTCACTGTCTGCATGGATTACATCAAAGGGAGATGCTCACGGGAAAAGTGCAAATATTTTCACCCTCCTGCACATCTGCAAGCCAAGATCAAGGCTGCCCAGTACCAGGTTAACCAAGCTGCAGCTGCCCAGGCAGCAGCGACTGCAGCTGCCATGGTGAGTTTGGAAAACGCTTCTGGAATAGAAGTATGTTGACAAGAGACAATAATTGATGTGTTAGCTGTTCTTGCTGGAGGGGGGTGCGTATGCGTGTGCTCAAGGATCCCAGTCACTACATGGTGCAATGAGCTTTCTCAGCATGTGGTGCCAGATCTGCTCTTAAGTAGTTTCAGACCGTTAAGGTGTTTCACTAATTTTGCCTGCTCATGTACAGAGTATCTATATGTACATATATGTGTGCATACGTGTGTGCGTGTGTGTACGTGTGTGTGCATATATGTATATATAGTTTATTGTATGTTTGTGTGTGGGTAGATGTGTATCTATCTAGTTGCACAGATAGATAAACCCATATTTCAGTTACTGTAAGTCTGTGTTTGTAGAGACTTACTTTGAAGTCGATCTTACTGTGTTAATGCTATTCGTAGCTCATCTCCCCCGGCCCCCACCTGAGGGCTGTCGGCAGCTCTCGCAGGGCACTAGAGCAAACCTCGTAGTTGTAGCAGCCAGATCTGGAACTACTCAGGGACTGGTTTCCTAGCAAGGAGAGGACAGCATCTTGAGGAGGGCTGTGGTGGCATATTGTCCTGTCTGTGCTGAGCCCCGTGGGGGTGTGGGAAGAGGAGCGCAGCGGGCGCACTGGGGCACGGCAGCCAGGAGGAGCGGGAGCGGCAGCGCCGGCGGTGTGAGGAGGTAGCCATGGGCTCCTGAGAGGCACTCCGCCGCCGGCCGGCGCAGGCAGTGAGCTGGTGGCCGGTTGTGGGGAGC